TTTATATAACTAGATAGGAAAGTCATGTGTTGGACACATCAGATTTTTATATTTTATGGAATATATCTGTTATTTACGTTTGGAGAAGAAAATTCTTCAAATAAAAGTTACTTCTAATATAATTATCTATAATTTTTGTTTTATGCAAAATTTTCCTAAAATGGTCCGTATTCGAGAAATTTGAGAAAATGTAAAAAAAATAATTTTTTATAAAAATTGTTCAAATAAAAGTTGTTTGTAATATAATTTTCTATAATTTTTGTCCTATACATAATTTCTCTAAAATGGACCGTATTCGAGATATTTGAGAAAATGTGTAAATTTCGAAATTTGAAGAAAACTCAAAAACGGATAAAGGAAAAAACATTAAATTTTAAACTTAAGGTTTATTTCGGCCTGACGTGAAATGATTAGATTTTGGACAAAGTCGGAACATCTGGGGGGGTACTTTATGGGAGGCCGTTTTTATATTTTATGGAATATATCTGTTATTTATGTTTGGAGAAGAAAATTGTTCAAATAAAAGTTACTTCTAATATTATTATCTATAATTTTTGTTCTATGTCAAAATTTCCTGAAATGGTCCGTATTCGAGAAATTTGACAAAATGTGCAAAATTCTGATTTTTATGAAAATTGTTGAACTAAAAGTTGTTTGCGATATCGATTTCTATAATTTTTGTTTTTATATGATTTTTCTAAAATGGACCGTAATGGAAAAGTGCTAAATTTAAATTTTTCTGTATTTTCGTTTTCAATGAATATCTATAGAAAAATGTTTCGAGGTAGATGTATGTGGAAAATGTATATATTTAGTTTATCCTCTAAACATTTATAGAGATGCTGCAATAGGTTGTACAAAATAACCGGAAAATGCCTATAATAACTAGATAGGAAAGTCATGTGTTGGACACATCAGATTTTTATGATTTATGATTTTACTGTAATTGCAACCCTCCTGCAACCCCCTGTTGTAAGGGTGCGTCAGAAGACGTTCATATTAGAGTTACATACTACTTGCATAACTCATGTAAAAAAATTAAACTTGCGAAAATGACCCGGAAATTTCTATCGTTACCTCCCGGTCTAGTAGATCTTCTGCAACAATTCTTGTTGACAGACATAATGTCTTTAAAAAAATACGTTAAAAGAAAATTTATTATTGCCGAGGGATACATTGATGAGTCAATGAAAAATTTAAACCATATAACTAATAACATTTTAGGATTAATAATTGAAAATTTCAAAATGAAGCCATTTACTTCAAGAACCGAATTCTCTGAAAATTCAGAAGATAAAAATACTTCAAGAAGTTGGAGAGTACAATTATCTCTGGGGAAGAAATTCTGTTGACAATAATATATTTCTTCAAGGAATGGACATTCTTCTCGTTCAAACTGTGTATCTTGATGTTTTCGTGACAAATAGGGGGATAAAGATGTATACATTTTTTGGTTTTGGATATTTGGGAATAAATGATAAAATTCAAAGGTATTACTTTCAAAAATAGGAAAATATATTGCAAAAATTAACTTGGACTCTGAAATTGATACTTGCGTTCCTAAGAACTGATAATACGTTAATAAATTTGTAAATTTCGGAATTTGATCAACATTATATATTTTATGTAAATATTTTGTTGTTTTTTATGTCTGAGCTGGAAACTATAGAATTATGTAAAGTATTTAAGTTTGTTAAGGTTATGACATTTTCTAAATTATCCTCCGAGCAATTACTACTAGAGGGAGTCTTCCTGTTTTCTCTAATTATCTAAAAAGTTTTAGAACAATAAAAAGACTGTTTTAACAAAAAAGAGATATACCTTTAATTAAACAGACAATTAGTCAACTACGATAATTTAAAGAAGAAATTTAGAAAACTTCTAAAAATGTGTTTAAATGTGTTTTTATTACATAATTATTAAAAAAAAGTCGACACATTAACATTGACGATATATTTTTATAATATATATTATACTAATCACAATGAACTACACAAAATGACATTATTAATAATGTAGCAATAAAAAAGTTAAGTACAATGATGACATTAAAAGTTGATTTTCTCGAAATTACTTTTTTTTTTTAAATTGTCTCAGTACCTACCTACTATTTTTCAGTTTCTATTATATGAATGTGTATTGTGTGATATCTTATATTTTAGGAATAAAATGATATATTTTTTTGCAGGTTTCTGTTAACAATGATTCCAAGAACTTTTGAAAATATTATTAAAACGGCCTTTGCAAATATAATTCTCAATTAAGAGCTTTTGATCTAACATTAAATTTTTATTCTCCAAAAGGTTACAGCTACCTAAGAAAATAATTTAACAAGACTCTTACCAGACCCAAAATGTTATCAACCAATTGATGGTTCTACTGGTTTCCATAGGAAAATTCTCCTCGAAACTACTAAAAGAAAAGCGGCAGAGGCAACCGAAGAAGGCAAAAAAGTCTTTTGCATAACAAAAACAAGAAATTTGTTTAAGAATCTAATAATTATTGGTTAAAGTTTTACCATTAATAATTTTTGATAACGATTTAAGATTATGAAGTTCTATTATGTATTTTACTCTTTGATAACCTATGTTTAAATTTTTATTAGGATCAAAATAAATTATAATTTTTATTTCAACTACAAAAACCCTCATAATATTAAAAAGGGGGAAAACGTCAGATTAGTTATGTTCAAGAATAAACTGTTTAAACATTTATCTACTTAAATTGTGTTACTTTTAGAAGGTATTTTATTAACTTTCTATTTGTACTTGTATTAATTTATTTCATTTTATCCCTGTTTGTTGTATTTTCAAATTGATTTTGATATTAATCTTATCTATTTATATATTTTTTATATTCATATATATGTTTTTTTTATTGAAACAAACGTTTATTAGCTTATTAAATATAATGAATTCATGTTGTTTTATTATATGCTTGTATGAATGATTACTTTTATTTCCTTTTGAAAATGAATTTCGAAGATAAAGCTGAAACGGTGAGTGAGAATAAAAAATTAGACGAAAGTGACGATATTTTTTATGTTTATGTTGATAATGGGGTGTTAATACACTGCGACCTAAAAGATCTATTGTGCCCCCTTCTGTTGCCACTGCACTAAGGAAATGTCTCAATGCCTATAGCGACCCTTCCAATCCTATTTTCTCAAGGAAGTGTAGGATTTGAAGTGGCTTCAAGTTAGGTAAGTCTCCCTCTTCTATTTGATATCCTCCTAGATATAGTGCCCTTGGATTCTGGAGTGCTACACATTCAGTTAGGATGTGAATGGAGGTTTCGTCCTCCTCCTCACAGAATCTGCACTCACTATCATCCTCTACTACTCTCAGTTTACTTAGGTGTCCTTTTAGTCGGCAGTGCCCGGTAAGGATCCCTGTTACAATACGTAGCCTGTTCTTGCTCAGGCAGATGCAGGCTTCCGATCTTTTTTGGTTATATTCACCCAGAAGTATCTTGGCCTGTCTCAGCCCCAAGAGATTGTTCCAATTATCGGTTCTTCTACTACCCAATTCTTTTTTAATCTCTTCTAATATTATGTTACTGCTGATACCGCAGAACGGCTCAGGTCCTACAAAGAGTGTTTGAGTCCCTTTCCTTGCAAGACTATCTGCAATCTCGTTACCCTGTACCCCGTTATGTCCCGGGACCCAAGTGAGAGTAACTCTATTTTTCTCGCCTAGCTCATTCAATTGTTCTAGGCATCTCTATACCATTTTTGAGCTGATTACGTAGGAACTCAGCGCTTTGATGGCTGCTTGACTATCGGACATGATGATAATCTCTTGTCTATGATAGTTTCTCTCGATGTTAAACTGGATACACTTCTCGATGGCGTGAATTTCCGCCTGGAAGATGCTTGGGTATTTTCCCAAGCTTTCGGAGTGCTTGGTTCTCGGCCCATACAGTTCCTTCTATGGTTTTGGAACCGTCCGTGTACCACTGAATAGCACGTCTTTCGGTTGCAAGCGCGATGGATTCTTGGCTCCATTCTTTCTTGCAGCCCAGCTCTGTGGTTTTGAAGTTTTTCACAAAACTGTACTTCTTTTGCATTTCATCCTGGGGCATGTCCCAGGTATCTTTAGTCCTGAAGCAAGTAGACTTTCGTCTGATTACTCCGCTCCTGATCATTCTGACGATATTTACTGGAGCTTTCATCTACACGCTCCTTTTTCTAGCCACCTACACCTGAGTCAGCAAGATTTGAGGATTTTCTCAAGGGCCCAATTATTTTATTTTGACAAAATTAATATGTGAACACCCCTAAAGTACCCCCGTTCTAACAAAAAAAGAGTCATTGAATTTGGACACCGTGTTAAAGAATTATCACTGAACATACATAAAAAAAATATACCGACGAATTGAGAACCTATTTCTTTTTTAAAGTCGGTTAATTATATAATAGTAGAAAAAGAATAGTATACAACACCTATGGAATGCAAATTTCCCACTTCTCGTGGGTTGTTGTACAATAAATATTAGGGTGTCCGTTATTTACTAATTTGATTTTTGAGCCTTTAATATTGATGATAAACCGTGCCACAAAGGCAATTCATTTCCCATTTAAATAACATGGGGTTTTTGTAATTTTTGCAATCAATTTTTTCGTTCCTCAGCCAGCTCATACAAAGCTGCGGCAATCAATTATTTTTGTAGTAAATTTAACGCTCTACAAAAAATTCTTAGTAATTTTTTCGATAAATTCGCTTGCTTTAAAGTTATTTAATCTCAAAGTTGAACTAAAAATAACATTAATTTTCTTTGTATTTTGACTTTCTTCTTAATAAATTTTTTTTCAATAATTTTGACAGACTCAACAAAATAGCTGAATCAGATATTTTTGCAATAAAGAATAAATTGTAAAACAAATAATGATAGTTTTTCGACTCAAAAATCAAATTGGTAAATAACGGACACCCTAATAAATATACTGTTGTAAGTTGTAGTTAGAGTGCATTGTATTTAAATATAAAAAAATTACTTACAGCGAAAAGCAAATTGAAAACAAACAGCAAATATTTTATAAGGTTCATTCCACAGTTTTCCATTTTGAATGTGAGGTATGTTTCGGAGTAACAGAAGAGCACTTTTAGTATCAAACAGGTATCTACTTATGAACATGGGAAATAATATTAAAGAACTGGGGCGGCGCGTAACCAACCCTCGTTCACACAACTATCACATGTGTAAGAATTTGGGCAGAAATCAATTGCTCCCTACTTTTTTTTAAATAATAATATAGTTTCCGAAAATAAATTCAAAATACTAACCCATTTTTATCGGTTTTTATTTTCTAAATATTGTAGTAGATAAATTAAATTGTTATTATACAGTGAGACACATAAGTTACTACTAAATTCATTTCCCATTTAATTAATGATTTTTAAGAAAAATTCTGGAACAGGTCGGTGATTGTTTATTTTAAATACTGGATTATTCGGATTTGCATAAACTCTAGCAAAGAACAATTTGCAATATTCGTCCTGTTATGGAGTGAAGGTAAGGTTGCCAGATTTACGTAAGGAAAAAACTTTTATAAAAACAGGTCCATTTTTTTAGGGAGATCTAAAAGAAGGTCTTCCGCTTATAAAACAGTTTCTTTTTCTAAAGAAAAGCTCTTACCTCTTTAAAAATTCATAATTTACTATATAATTTGCTTAAAAATTGCGTCGTTTGATCTGTTTTATTGAAATAAAACTAATCGAATAAAGATGATATTTTTTATTGAAATTTAATTTTTTTGTTTAAAAAAGTTTTAATAGTTCCAGGTCGCACAGGTTATTAACCATGTGTTGTTATAATAATACACATATTTGTAATGACAATACTATTTCAACAAGGTTTATTATAAAATCTTTAAAAACTAAATTTGAGTTTACTTAAAGTCTGTTCCTTACAAAATTATTTAATGTAACTTTTAAGTCATAATGCACTTAAAATATTTTAAACGTTACAATTAACTATACCTACAACAGGAATTAGAGGAGATATGCAATGTTTTTTAAATAAACGAATAACTCTTCGTTTCCTCCGTTGACATCAAATGGTTCTACTACATTTTGTAAACTCTGAGTAAGATTCAAATGATTTTTCTTCGTTTTTTTAATTCGTTCTCCTGTTTCTTCCTTTAATATTTTGGGTTCACTTAAAGTCTGTTCCTTACATAAATAATTTAGAAAATTCCAAATCGATGGCTTTGTAGCTTTAACCTGAGTCAAAAATCCTCTATGCCAGCCCTCGACATTGTTGTTTGTAACGGATGTATTATTCTTGATACTATAATAACAACTCCACATGCTATGTGGGAATGTAGGTTTTTTCTAACTCTTATTTCCATTGTTCCTATCCACACATCTTCAATATAGTTAACTATATTTTGAAATTCCGCGCCCATCATATTATGTTCCATAATGACATTAAAAGCATGTATAATCAAATTTTCGGGAACAAATGCAATGGCTTGCAAAAGTTTAGCCTTAAACGAAAAATCAGTATCGCTATCGTATTTTTCTCTATAGATGACTTGGCTTTAGTGTCTATTTCTCCCAAAACCTCTTTAACATCGGCTGCCTCCGGTTTTCCAGGATGACTATGTTCTCCTCTTACCTCATTATGTTTACCATTTAATCTCCTTCAGCCACTCGTTGTTGGTGTATTTAAGAGCATGAAAGCGACATGGAATAAAAATCTTTGTAAATGACAGAGGCTCAACCCAAGAAGAAAAATTTCTAAAACTGAATCTTCTTGACAAGAAAAATGCCTAAACAGAACATTATAAATGGGTTTCAAGCAACAGGTATCTATAATTTAGATACAGGTAAATAAGATCGAACAAAAGTTCCTGAAACAATATTTTCACAGCAAGATGTTGTAACCACGGTAAACAAATCAAGGTAATTATTGGAACGAAAGAGCAAGAAAATAATGAAAACGAAGAAAATGGAACAATACATCAAATGGAAGATTTAGTTAACAAAGAACAGCAAACAAATATAGTGAATGATCAACAAGGTAAAAAGGAGTTGAAGCCTAAAGACAAACCTAGACCTTCAAACACCCAAAGCGGTATTTGTCTGAATCCCTTTGAAAGTCTGGTAGTTGAACTATTAAAAAATAAAAAAAAAAAAGAAATCGTAATCTCCGACACCATAAAAGAGAACAAAGATCTGCAATGGGGCAGAAATTATACCAACAGAAAAAGAAACCAGAAGAGGAAAATAAAAAAACTGGAAGAGGAGAAAAAGAAAGCCCGAGCAGAAACAAAGTAAAAGAAAATAGCTCAAAAAGTGAACTCTATCCAAAATATTGTCACGCTAAACAAATATCACCCTATATTTAAAATATACATTTTCTATTTTAATATACATTCGTTAAATTAAATAATTTAGCATAATATTTTATATAATATTTTGATAAACATTCATAAGTACGTCCTTGATAAAAGTAAATATAACATAACAATATAACACGTACTGACCTTAATCGATTAATATAAAAATCGGTAGGTCAACAATAATGGCACTCTTGGTCGGGGTCTCATCCGAGACTCTTGGCCGGAGTCTTATCAATTACTCTTAGTTTGAGTCTCATCATTGTCTCTCACCCCAGCGAAGAAGTGACGTGACGTGCCCTCGTCGCCATTTAGATGTATAGCCAGCCCATGGTAAGGCCCTTATTGTGTATTGTTTATGGATTACTATTACTGATAAATAAATTGTTAATTGTTCTCGTAATCTTTTATTTTCCCAAGTCAGGTAGCACATAGAGTCATTATTTAAAGTGACTCAATCACGACAATAGGCTCGTGACAATATAGATCCTTCGAAAGAGAAAAAACTCCAAATAAATATAAAAAAATCGAAGAACACTAAAAGTGAGACCGAAAGTAGTGAAGATGATTCAGAAGATTGTATAGAACTGATGTCGGATGAGGATGCAGAAAATGTCGTGGCTGTCGTGGAGGGTGATTTTGTGCTTGTTAGGTACAATATGGAAATGTATCCTGGAAAAGTGTTGGAAGTAAAAGACACAGAAATCATCATATCTCACATGGTAAAAAGTGGCGTTGGCCTGAAAAGCCCAATATCTTAGCATATGACGAAATAGACATAGTAAAAGTTATCCATGAGCCCCAACAAAATAATAATAACAGGGGAACATATATGGTACCTGAAATGAAAAAATATTAAGTACTTTACATAAGTTCATACACCACTTTAGTTTAGTTGTTTCATTTGACCAAATTTCTTTGCAGGTTCGTCTCGTACATAGTTGCAAATTTAAGTGTTGTAAAATTAGGTTCCAGTTAACCAATTTGAACTTAAGGCAAAAAGTATCAATTCCATGGACTATGCAGTATATTTATAAACATATTTTTTTAACTTTCATCCGTTATACAGATGGGTGAAAGTCGATCTTACTTCGAATCCTGTTCTCCATTTAATTTGTTAAACTTTTCGTTACAAGTTTTAATTTTTGTAAAAATTTATTTATTCGGCAATTTATGATCTTATTTCTTACTTTAAGAAAGGTAGTAAAATGCAATTCGCGTAAAAGGATTACTTTATAATACATACGCTTGTTGCATACATAACTATTACAAAACAAGTTAAACTATCTATACAAGTGATAGGTTCTATAAAATTATCTCAAATAAGAATTGCTTGTTGGTCGCTTCATGTAAACAATTTTCAGATTGAAGAAATTTATACATTTATACAATCGATCCAATCAAATATTCCAAGCATTCGGGAAATGAATTTTCCATTCCGTCAAGAAAGTGTGTAATGATAATGAAATATATGTAAAATTAACTCCTAGTAAAAAGAAATCAATATTCAGAGCTTTGGATTGGCGTACAAGAAGTCGTTGACCCATTTGTGGTTATTTTATTACAACTTGGAATTAGGGGTTGTACTTATACGATTCTCGTGATATGTAAACATAAAAGTTTTGGTGTGGTGGCATTTGACAGGAATCATTTATATTTATGTTTATGTTACAGTTAAAAAATACTTGGGATAATGAAATTTTTATTACTTAAAGGTGTAGCTCTACCGTGTGAAATTCACCTCATCTTTATTTCCGAAACACAAAATTTATATGGGAAAAATTGATTTAGCCCACTCTTGTGATAGATCTATGAATACACCAAATAATGATAAACACTGCACTCAAGAAGGATAATTATAATTATTATTAATAATATGTATCTGTACCTCAAAGCCAAAGTATTCATTTACAAAAAGTTCCACCTTGAAGATTTTTAAAGCACATTTTATTATTTTCTGGAGAGTTTCAATTTCTCTAAGACAATTGTACATTTTTTTAGTTATTTTGATTTCTTGTTGTTTTTGGACTTGTAAAGTTAAAATTTATGCAGTTAGATGTTGTTTTTGTCTAACGGACTTGGCATATTCTGCCTTAGAGAAAAATTTTTAGTTATGGGCTTGTCCTCATGCCAAGTCTGGTCTATCACTAATAATAATTTATTAAGGAAGGCAGAAAAACAAGAAGAATTGGACGATTTGTTTAATTTGGTAGCAAATAACAATAGGCACCAGTTTAGGCAAACTTTTAGGATTCTAAAATGCGATGTACCCGGCATTTTATACTAATGAATCTTGGATGCCAGTCAATATTATGAACTTTGGTCTTATTCGATTGGATTGTAATATTATTTCTGGTTCCTTTATAAATGGGAAAGAAGCCCACACCCTTTTTTCATTTAACTTGGATGTTGCGTCAGGATACAGGCTTGTAAAGGAGCCTCATAATATTATCTATCTACCCGTTATACCATCCGGTCGACAATACATAGACAACATTACTATTCGAGTTGTAGACGATTGCCTTTGGGGAAGAAACCATTAACATCATAGTTGAATTAAAAGAGATAAACTAATATGGGATTCTGCTTCAAATCACGATATTCAACTAGCAGTCATTTAAATCACCATATAAATAGATTTGAAAGGAAAAACATGAACACTCGTTGAGTACCAGTAAAGCGAAGAACACTTCAGTTATCTAATAAAGATTATGTTTCTTCAATCTATTGGTTTGCATATAAGATATTAAATCATGGCTGTTTATGTAAGAAATAAAATGTTGAACGTATTTGA